CTGGGGAAGAGATAGGTCTCACCAAGTTAGCCCCAAAGCAAGAGTTTTGGATGGCCCACAGGGCGGCTCGTAATGTGTCTGATGTGGCTGCGCTTAATAATATGGAAGAGTCGCCAGGCTGGGCGCGGCCGATTTTCTGGAAGCCTTTGGCTGGCTTCTTGGAGGGCCGACTGTCGGATACCTGGATGGCTAGGCACCAGTCAAGTCTACGCTCATTAATTTCACAGCAGCACTGGTGCCAAGCCAAACAAGCGCGCCACACAAAGTCTGACTCTAACCTCTGCCAAGCCTGTTTAAATAAGCCAGGCGCGCTCTGGGGCAGACGTTTCATTTGTCCGCACTGGGCCGCCGACCGTGATAAACACTGTAGCCCACGACTGCTCCGCTGCGCGTCCGTGTTGCAGCTTTCGGGGCAAGACCTCGAGAAGGCGGCGTGTGGTATCTTCCCCATGCCCTTAGAGGTTGTGCATAGGCCTCTGTGGGATAGCGAGTGTAACATCATCTGGATCAAAAACAGCCTGATTCTGGACAGTTGTCAGGCCATGTTTTTGCTGACGGTTCAGGCCTCCGCCCGACCTGCCCCCTCTCCCGCAGAGCTGGTTGGGCCCTGACGCAACTGAATGACGATGGCTCGCTTTTTGCCGCAGTCTGTGGTGCCGTGTCTTGGGATTTGGGGCCATTCCAGACTGCTCGTGATGGTGAAGAGGTCGCCGTCCTGCAGGGTGCTAGAGGTTTTGTGGTTGGAGAAACGGTTTTCCACATCGATTGCCAGGGCACGATAGATGCTGTCAATGACAAGACCTGGTCCTCTTCTGTTAGGCGCTCGCGGTGCCACCTGTGGGAGGAAATTCACAGGCAGCTCCCATCCATCAGCGCTGTGAAGGTCGAAGCCCACCTTCCCTTGTCTGCGGTCTCTGAAGGCCACATTTCGGAGTATGAGTGGAATGGTAGCCGCGCTGCTGATGTCTATGCGGGGCGGGGAGTCACCCAGCATCCTGACACGTCCGATTGTAAATCTGCCCTAGATGCCCTGGCTGACATTGTCAAAGAATTCGCGCATTGGGCGGCCATTCAGGAAGTTTGGATGGCCGGGCGCGAAGATTATGATGCCCTCCCTCTTCCTCCTCGGGCGACCTCGGGGGAGGTGGTGGTGGTGCCTTCTCTTGCAAGACCAGGGGTGAGGTTGCCAAGCCACGGAACTCTAGGCCAGCCATCACCCCTGAGATCTCTGGAGAAGTCAATGCTCTTGTGGCTCTGCAGGTCCACGTTTTGCGGCAAGCAGCGTTTTTTTATTGTCTCTGGGCTTCCGCCCGCTCCGCCGAAGAACCCTGCAGTGCTTGTTTGTGCTGCTTGTGGCGGATATGCTTGCGAGGCTGTATTCAGCCTTGCCAAACCATGCAACGTGTCGCCACCCACTGAGGCTTTGCGTAAGCAGCGCAACCGTGCCCGCAAGATACAGTTTCCTTGTGGGTCTCGCCAGTACAGTGGTCGGACGGTGGGGGCCTGGAAGGCCCCCTCCCCGCTGGCGATTGCTGCCGTGCTCACCCCCAAAGCTACGTCTCTGTGTTGGCGTAAGCCTGTGGCCGACTTCTCGGTCCCTAATGTGGCGGTGTGGGGGGAGTGGTGGGACAAGGAACACGTTGCTGCTTCTTTCGGCCTTTCTGTTGAGGGTTTAGACTCAGCGCTTGCAGACAAAGCCGAAGAAGCCAAACAATTAGCCCTCAAGCGTCAACTTGAGGAGGACCAACCAATCAAAGTTGTGTAATCCCAACTTGTCTCTGACTTGTTGTCCCCTCTACTCTGAGGTAGACTTGCTCCTGCAATGTTATTTCCAGTTGTGACTCGTGGATTGCCTCTGGTGCCTCGGGATGTGCGATGATGATAATGGTGGTGATGATGAGGAGGAGGAGGATACTGAGGTGGAGGAGGCGGAGCAAGAGGAGGAGCAGGACGAGGAGGAGGCGGAGGAGGAGGAGGAGGAGGAGAAGGAGGAGGACGAGGCGACGTGCGCAAGAGGCGCCCGCTCCCCGGGGGGAGGGGGCGCGTCGGCCAAGGCCTCGGGTCTGGGCTTGCCTGGGGGCGCCACGAGGACCCTCCTCCCACTTCTCCTCCTCCTCCTCCTCCTTCTCCTCCTCCTCCTCCTCCTCCTCCTCCTCCTCCTCCACCTCCTCCTCCTCCTCCTCCTCCCCGCCCTCCGCTTCCTCCTCCTCCTCCTCCTCCTCCTTCTCCTCCTCCTCCTCCTCCTCCCCACCCTCTCTCTGCTCCTTTGCTGCCCCTCCCCCGCCTCTTCTCCTTCCCCATGAATCTGCTGGAGGGCCCACGCCCGCGGAGGGCAGTGGGGAGAAGCCGCGCTGGATCTCATGAGATCCTGGACTGGAGGCCTCGGGCGGCAACTTGAGGCCCAATGTACATCCCATCCACGCCAGAGTCCCGTCGGAATCGCGTCGGGCTTGCGTCGGATTCGCGCCGGGCTCACGTCGGAGCATCGCCGCGCGAGCGTCGACTCACAACATGGACTAGACAACACCACTGTTGCACGACGCGCGAGGCTCCCAGGATTTTCCTCATGGGAGATCATCAGGCAAGGAGTAGCCGACTCTGCTTTCATGTGAGACGGATCTTGCGCACGATGGTTGACCGCCTTACGCGGTGGCTCACACGGGCATCCAGGGCGGTACACTACAATGAAAAAGAAAACGCTGACGGGCGGTCTTACTCGATCAGCTTACGCACAAATATCCGCGCAAAGAACTCGTTGTTGGCGTCGCTCACGTGGAAATGCGTTGCTATTGCCAGAGCGTTGGTATTGTCGGCGCGAGCTTTCTGCCTCTAACTCGATGGCCAGTGCCACCCATGCACCCAAGGCTCCGTCTCAGAGCCAGCTGTCTTGTCCATTGACACCGTCGGTGCGCCACAGGAATGCCTTCGTGGTCTGACGGTCCGCCTCGCCCCTCCTCCTCCCGCCCTTCTCCTCGTGCAGGGGGCCCACAGCAGAGGGGAACGACCCGTGGCAGATCCCGAGGCTGCCGCGCGTGTGGTCACGTCGCTGAGCTTGCCCGATGCGCCCTGGGAATTTCCTTTCATCATGTCCCTCATCCACCTCCTCCACAAACCCACCCGCCCGCTCCTCCTCCTGCTCCTCCTCCTCCTGCTCCTGCTCCTGCTCCTGATCCCGCCCCTGCTGCTCCGCATCCTCCTCCTGCTCCTGCTCTTGCTCCTGCTCCAAATCCTGCTCCTCCTGCTCCTGCTCCTCCTGTTCCTGCTCCTGTTCCTGCTCCTCCTCCTCCTCCTCATCCTCCTCATTTCTCCCCCCCTCCTTCTCCTGATCCTGGTCCTCCTCCTCCTCCTCCGCCTCTTCCTCTTCCTCCTCCTCCTCCTCCTCGTCTTCATCCTCCTCGCCCTCCTCCTCCCCCTCCTCCTCCTCCTCCTCCGCCTCGTCCTCCTCCTCCTCCTCCTCTTTCTCCTCCGCCTCCTCCTCCTCCTCCTCAGCCTCCTCCTCCTCCTCCGCCTTCTTCTCCTCCGCCTCCTCCTCCTTCTTCTCGTTCTCCTCGTCCTCCTCGTCCTCCCCCTTCTCCTCCTCCTCCTGCTCCTCCTTCTGCTCCTCCTCCTCCTCCTCATCCTGTTCCTCCTCGTTATCTTCCTCCTACTCCTTCATTTCTTCTATGTGCGAGATAAACTCTCAGTGTCGCACCCTGAGGCATTTTTTTTGGCGGCCCGGGCGTGCGGGTTGAGGCTTCCTTACCCATTCGTTCCTTGCAAACTTGGCAACAGTTTCACAGATGGAGGGCGGGCGGTTTTCAACATGTGGCTCTCGCCTTAACGCCGCGCACATTGGTTCTAATAATGTTTAAGAGCTTCACGGATTGAGGGCGGGTGGTCTTCAACATGTGGCTGTCGCCTTAGCGCCGCGCACAGTTGTTAATACATACAAGAGTGTCACAGCTTGAGGGCGGTTCCTTTTCAAATGTGGTTCTCGCCTTAGCGCCGCGCACATTCGGTTGAAGCATTGCATGAGTTCCACGGATTGAGGACGGGTGGTTTTCGAAATGTGGCGCTCGCTATAGGGCCGCGCACTTTTTAAAACATTTCCAAGAGCTTCACATTTTGAGGGGGGTTTCTTTTCAACATGTGACTCTCGCCTCAGCGCCGCGCACATTCGTTTAAAACATGGCAAGACTTCACGGATTGAGGGCGGCTGCTTTTCAACATGTGGTTCCTACCGTAGCGCCGCGCACATCCGTTTTAAACATTTCAAGAGTTTCAGCGGTCTCCATGAACACATTACATACCAGAAATGGCGTTTATCAAGGACTGAAGATGATGAGGATGCAACAGTTACGTTCATTCGCGATGCTGAAGTCCCAATAATGGCGTTCTGGCACAATTCAAGATCGTCAAAGCGCAACATGCCAGTTGTTCAGTGGCGTTGGAACCCCGAGAACAAGTAAGGCTGTGGCATGTTTCAGGATCTTCAAACGGTTGTCTTACAACGAGGCAGTTCCCTCACTGGAAGTGAACCACTGTAGGAGCCTATGAAGAGGGTGCTTGGAGGGAGAGTTTTATCCTACATTGGGTTTACACTGGTCCTCCTCCTCCTCCTCCTCCTCCTCCTGCTCCTCCTTCCCCTCCCCCTCCCCCTCCTTCTCCTCCTCCTCCTCCTTCATCTCGCTCTTCTCGCTCGCCGCCGAAGTGGGCCTCGTCATCCTCTCGTCAGCCCCGTCGGGCCAGCCCGAGTCCCCCGAGCCCGAGCCTTGCGCCTCCCCGAGAGGAGCTGCGGGGCCCCCTCGCCCTCGCCCTCTGGTCTTGGCCCTCCCCTCCTCCTCCGAGGAGGAGGAGGGAGGAGGAGGAGAAAGAGAAAGAGAAAGAGAAAGAGAAAGAGAAAGAGAAAGAGAAATAGGAGGAGGAGGAGGAGGAGGAGGAGGAGGAGGAGGAGGAGGAGGAGGAGGAGGAGGAGGAGGAGGAGGGCGGAGGGGCGCTCCCCGCCGCCCGCGGGCGGAGAGGTGTCCTCAAGCGGTCCCTCGCCGGGCACAAGCGGGAGGCGGGCGCGCCCGGCCGGGGCTGCGGCGGCCTTTCCGGCTGTGCCCCAACATAGTGATGCCATAGTTGGGGGCCCCAACACGGGGCGGTGACCACACCGTGCGGTGAGTCGGTGGGGATTCGGGGTCACCGCACGGTTTTGGGACTCGAGTCCCTCTCCGAGGATGTCTTGGGCGACAGGGGCCTCCAGGGTCCCAAGACCGTGCGGTGACGGACCGTGCGGTGAGGTCTTGGGGGATTTCGAGGTCACCGCACGGTCTGTCACCGCACCGTTTCGGGACTCCAAATTTTGTCGGCCTTGATTGGTTGGTCGACCCTGCCAAGTTTGGTTTTTTGGTAGTTTTCGGCCTCCAGGGGCCCTCGTCGGGCCCCGGGACCGTCAATCCAGGCCTCTCATATGGGGTCCGAGCAGATGGGGTCGGAGGATCGCGACGCATCGCCGATGCATCGACGATGTGGCTCGACGTCGCCGATGCATCGCTGACGTTGCTGATGCATCGCCGACGCATCGCCGCTACGTCAGCGATGCATTTGCGATGCGGCGCGATCCTCCGACCCCATCTAATCGGAACCCATCCAGGAGGCCTCTAGTCAAACACGACTCAGAATGAACATCTGGTCCTGGGAAAGGGGCCCAGACCTTCGGGGGTCGGTGTTGCGAAAAAAACACGACGTCGGGGGTCTGGGAGGACAAGGGCGAATCTGTTCCAGAGCGCTCCGGAACACGCTCCGAACCGCTTCGAGAAGGCCGCGGGGCCCAATGCAGTCGGCTCTGATTGGTGGGTCGACCATGCCAAATCGAGGGTGCCCTTGTGTCTTGCCGATCTCCCGGCCCAAGCAGCCCGCATGTTCTCTGGTGCTCTGGGGCTGTTTTGCCGTCGGAGGAGTCCTTTGCTTTTTCTTGGGTGTCCTGCCCAATCAAGTCCGACCGTACAGTGCCGTTTTTAATACATGCTCCGCGTGCGGATCATGTATTTAAAATGCGGGAATTGAGTATAAAAAACAACGATGAGTTCATGCATACATTCATTCATAAATTAACCATGTATTAAAAATGCTATATTTTCAAAAATCCTATGCATTAAAATCTGCCCTGTACGCTTGCGTCGCCCCCCCAGGGAGGCGCGCGCGCCGAGTAGTCTCAAAGAGTCAGCTCCGTTGCGGCTGCTTTCTATCCATGTCGGCTGGGGAAAGTCAGGAGGGGAAAAAACACTCAGACACAATTAATCGTCGATCCCCAGGAAATATGCGAAAATATGGGAAGTATATGGGAAATGCAAAAACTCAGAAAATATGGGAAAATATTGGGAATATTTTTGTTTGTGTGTATTTATTTGTTTGTTCTGGGGACCCTTTAGAAAGGTACACTGCAAGGTCTTTGTACTACGTCTTCGGGTCGGGCTCACGCCTCGGAGGAGGGCACATACTTGGTTCTGGTACATCCTCGCGCGTCCCATGTTTTGAGCCTGGGACTCGCCACGCCCGACTGCGAGAGCCGGAGCGCCAATCGGATCGGCTCCAGGGTTGCGAAGGGGATATCGAAGAAGACGCTCCTCGCAGATTTATAGGCTCGGCGCTGAGGCCCCCCTGGCGGCGCCTCTGGCGCCGCCCCCAGCGTGCTCCGCGCGCCAGGGAGGGGGGCTGGGTGCAGATCCAAGAAATCCGCGCGGACCTCCAAAAGTTAATGTTTATGCAGTTTTTTGTCCCTCTCGGATAGGCAAAGGGTCAAAGATTTTCCTAAGAACCTTTTTTGGTTTGCCCGAAGTGTCTCAGAACATTTCTGGCTGATTCCGTCTTGTTTTCATCAATCGGCCTCATGTTCTAAGTTTGTTGTTGTTGCTGCTGCTGCTGTTGTGGCTGCTGCTGATTCTGCCATGTGTTTCTGCTCCTAGCCACCCTCCTGCTAATTTCTCTCGTGCGCCATCCTTCTCCCTCCTCCTTCCATCCGTCCTCTCTCCCCCTGTTTTAGGGACTGCGCTAAGTGCACGTGGCAGGTAAGGAACATATATCCCCAAGGGGGTACGATCGAAGACGAAGGGGACATGTACCGAGGGCTTGGGGTATACGTGTTGAATGTCACGCGAGCAGATCGGAGCGAACAGTCTTGAACTGATTGTGTTCGTTGAGCTCGAATCATTCTCCAAATAGGCTTGCCCTATAAGAGTTCGAATTCAAGCCATACTAATTGGTCCGTTGCCCGCCCCTGATTCCTATGCCCCCCCTAATTCCTATTGCTATGCCTATTCCTATGCCTATGCCTCCCCCTAACTCCTATGCGTACGCCTATCACCATCATCACCCACTACCTATTTGGAGTCAACGCTGGCTGATATTATTGTTGATTCACCCCCTCCAGTGGCCATTGTGTTTTTTCAATTGAAGTGCTCCCCCCCGGGGCTCGCACACTGTTTTTTTCAGGGGAAGGCACTAGGCTTAGACTGTGTTGTTTGGCCCCGGTTTCAACAACGGCTCCCGCCATATATTTCCTCACAATTTTGCCAGGACCCCCGTTCCCGCTTGAGACTTCCTCGCATGTTACTCAGGAGGCGCGCTCTCGCTTGGAACTTCCGTACAGTTGATTCATGAATCGCTTTCTCGGCGCTCTGGAGTCACGCTCTCGCTGGAGACTTGCAATTTACGGAAGAATCGCGCTCTTGCGTTGGAATTCCCCGCAATCAAATCAAGGACCGCGTTCCCGACACTCCGGCACCCAGGAGTCGCGTTCATGCTTAGGACTCCCTCGCAGCTTACTCAAGAATCGGGATCTCGCTGCCCTTTGTGGCCCCGTTGCAGCCCTTCGTGGCTCCCTGGCTGTCCTTCGTGGCCCCGTTGCAGCCCTTTGTGGCCCCCTCGCTGCCCTTCGTGGCCCCGTTGCAGCCCTTCGTGCAGCCCTTCGTGGTCCCCTCGCTGCCCTTCGTGGCCCCGTTGCAGCCCTTCGTGGCCCCCTTGCTGCCCGTCGTGGCCCCGTTGCAGCCCTTCGTGACCCCCTCGCTGCCCTTTCGTGGACCTGTTTCAGCCCTTCTTGGCCCCCTGGCTGCCCCTCGTGGCCCCGTTGCAGCCCTTCGTGGTCCCCTGGCTGCCCTTCGTGGACCCGTTGCAGCCATTCGCGGCCCCCTTGCTGCCCTTCGTGGCCTCTTTGCAGCCCTTCGTGGCCCCCTTGCTGCCCTTCGTGGCCCCGTTGCAGCCCTTGCGGTCCCCTCGCTGCCCTTCGTGGCCCCGTTGGAGCCCTTCGTGGTCCTCTCGCTCCCTTCGTGGCCCAGTTGCAGCCCTTCGTGGCCCACTCGCTGCTCTTCGTGATGTATGCCCTTCGAGGCCCCCGCTCGTTCGCGCCCGTCGTGGCCCCATATGCAGTCGCTTTGTGGCCCTGTCGCTGTCGCTCGTCGTCGTCGTCGTTGTCGCTCGCCGTCGTCTTCGTCGTCGTCGTCGTCGTCGTCGTCGTGGTCGGTCCCCTGTCCGTCCCGCTTGGGGTCGGGTTGCCGCCGATCAGCGCTGCCGCTGGTCAGGCCGACGGTCCGCGGCCGCCCCGCCGCTTGCCGGGGCCTGGCCTGCAGGGAAGAGAAATATACCCCCCAGAAGGGGTACGATCGAAGACGAAGAGGGCGGGTATCGAGCGTTTTGGAAATACACGTTGAATGACACTCGAGCAAATGGGAACGAACAGACTTACAATGATTGTTGTTGGTGTTGTTGCTATTGTGGCCGACGTCGACGGCGCCGTCGGCGTCGGCCGCGGCGCCGTCTTCTTCGTCGTTGTCGTTGTTGATATTGTCGTCGTCGTAGTCGTTGTTGTTGCTGTTGTTTTAACTGTTGTATTTGTTATACTTGCTGTTGTGGTTGTTGTTTTTGCTGTTTTTTGTTGATGTGATTATTGTATGTTGTTGTTGTTGTTGTTGTTGTTGTTGTTGTTGTTGTTGTTGGTGTTGGTGTTGTTGTTGTTGTTGTTGTTGTTGTTGTTGTTGGTGTTGGTTTTGGTGTTGGTGTTGGTGTTGTTGCTGTTGTTGCTGCTTTTGGTGTTGCTGCTGTTGTTGACGCTTATTTCTAAATACTCGGAGGTTGTGGGGTGAGATCGCAGTGGATCGGAGACCACCAACCGGGAAATCGTTTCTTTCCGTTCGTGTCTTGAGTGCGAGCGGGGCGAAGCTGCGTGGGCGCGCGAGAGGAATGAACCCGCCGTTGCTAGGGCGAAGTCAAGACAACTGATTCTCCTCCGTCCGTCTGGCGGTGGCCCTAGCGGTGTCCCGCGGTGTCCCGTGGTGTCCCGTGGTGTCCCGTGGTGTCCGCTGTTGCTAGGGCGAAGTCAAGACAAATGATTCTTCTCCGTCCGTCCGTCCGGCGGTGGCCCTAGCGGTGTCCCGCGGTGTCCCGTGGTGTCCCGTGGTGTCCCGTGGTGTCTGTCGTTGCTAGGGCGAAGTCGAGACAACTGATTCTCCCCCGTCCGTCCGTCCTTCCGGCGGTGGCGCGCGGTGTCCCACGGTCCCGTCGTGTCCCGTGGTGTCCCGTTGGGTGAGATCGATGGTGAGATCGATAGTGAGATCGACTTTGAGATCGATACTGAGATCGATGTGGTGCCCCAAGGTGTCCCGTGGTGTCCCATATAGCGAGATCGATAGTGAGATCGATCGTGAGATCGACAGGTGTCCCGTGGTGTCCCGTGGTCTCCCGTTGTGTCCCGTTGAGCGAGATCGATAGTGAGATCGATCGGAGGTTGGGGGGTGAGATGGCAGTGAAACGGAGACCCTCCACCGGGAAATCGGTTTCGGTTTCGTGTTCGTGTCGTGCGTGCGGGCGAGGTGAAGGTGCGCGTGATCCTCCTGTAGCTAGGCCGACGTAGGAGCGAAAGTCGGGGTGCCCAGCACCCGGTTGCCGGTTGGGCAGGGTGGTGTCCCGGGTGTCCCGGGTGTCCCGGGCGTCCTTTCCCGTCCGCCATGCAGTGGCCGGTTGGGCCAGGCGGTGTCCTGGGTGTCCAGGGTGTCCCGGGCGTCCCGGTATCGATATTGAGATCGATGTGGTGCCCCGAGGTGCCTTGTGGTGTCCCATGGTGTCCCACAAAGTGAGATCGATAGTGAGATCGATAATGAGATCGACAGGTGTCCCGTGGTTTCCCGTGGTGTCCTATGGTGTCCCGTTGAGTGAGATCGATAGTGAGACCGATCGTGAGATCGATGTCGTGCCCCGAGGTGTCCCGTGCTGTCCCAAAAAGTGAGATCGATAGTGAGATTTATAGTGAGATCGACAGGTGTCCCGTGGTGTCCCGTGGTGTCCCGTTGTGTCCCGTTGAGTGAGATCGATAGTGAGATCGATGGTGAGATCGACAGGTGTCCCTCGGTGTCCCTCTGTGTCCCGTGGTGTCCCATTGAGAGAGATCGATAAGGAGATCGATAGTGAGACCAAGAGTGAGATCGAGAGGTCTCCCGCGGTGTCCCGTGGTGGCCCGTGGTGGCCCGTGGTGGCCCGTGGTGTTCCGTGGTGTCCCGTTGAGTGAGTCCGATAGTGAGATCGACAGTGAGATCGACAGGTGTCCCGTGGTGTCCCGTGGTGTCCCTGAGATCGACAGTGAGATCGATAGTGAGATCGATAGTGAGATCGATCGGAGGTGAGGGGGTGAGATCGAAGTGGAACGGAGAGCCCCCCTCCCGGGAAATCGGTTTCGGTTTCGTGTTCGTGCGTGCCGTGCGTGCTGGCGAGGCGAAGCTGCGTGGGCGGGCGAGAAGTGTCCCGCCTCTGGCTGCGTGAGCGGTGCTCCCGAGCAAAGTGAACCCCACCCTCCCCCTCAGAAATCGTGGGGGGTAGGGGTAGGATTCGCATCTGGCCCCCTAGCGTTGGAGGCCGGGGCCTCCCTCCTCCCCTCGCCCAGCACGCACGGTGCCCCTTTCGGCAGCTCGCGCGCTGCAGGGCGCGCGGGCCTCCGTGCCCCGGTTTTGCACCCTGACGTTGGCTGCTCCACGCCTCGGGAGGCCTCCGGGCAGGCCGCTGGGTGACCTGCAGAGCGCAGAGCGGCCACGGCGACGACCGCGACGCACGTCGTGGTCGTTGTCGTCGTCGTCGTCGTTGTCGTCGTCGTCGTCCTCGGGTGTGTTGGTGGCGCATGTCTTCTTTTTGATCCCGCGCCGCATCAGATCCTGCGCTCCCCAGTCTGTCGCGGTGAGTACTTACCCTTCACCTCCTCCACCTCCTCCCTTCTCCTCCACCCTCTACCTCCATGCTCCTCCTCCCCTCCTCCACCTCTTCCTCTTCCATTCGCCATCATCCCTTCTCCTCTCCCTTGTCCTCCTCGCCCCTCTTTTTCCCCCCTACCTCCTCCTCCTCTTCCTCCCTTTTTCTCCTCCCTCTTCTGTGCCCCCTCCTTACTGCTTCGCGGCCCAAGCCTCGCCGCGCCGCCGTCGAGGTTCTCTGCCTGGCCGTGGACTGGAAGGACCACAGGGCGCTCAGCGGCTCCGCAGACCACACCGTGGCCAGCACGCGCCCGCAGACCTTCGTCGCCGCCGTCGTCAAGGGATGAGGAGCAGGAGGATCCGATTTTCCTTGTAGCAATCAGATTTCTTCCCTCACGGCTGATTCGATTGCTCTAGATAAAGGGGTCGAGGCTGTGAGGAAACTCGCGCTTGAAACAGGCAGCCGTCGAGAAAGAGAGAACAGCAGGACGAGGGGGACGACGAGTCGGGCAGAGGCGAGGCGTCCCGGCTTGCCTATGGGCCAACCGAGGAATGCTCTAAGAACCTCTTGTGGTCCGCACGAAATGTTCTTAAAGCATTTCTGGCCGCGACGGTGTCGTTGTAACACGTCGGATCTGTTTTCTAAGAACACTGTTGTTCTTCCATAGTCTTGGGGTTCTAATCGTGGTAGGCCTATAGGAACGTCAGGGCGGTCGGCCCCTGCTCACACGAGGGGGAGGATGTGGAGGGCCAGGAGGAGGAGGAGGGAGGAGGAGAGGGAGGAGGAGGAGGAGGAGGAGGAGAGGAGGAGGAGGAGGAGGAGGAGGACGGTCGGTCGGTCGGTCCCTGCTCACACGAGGGGGAGGATGTGGAGGGCAAGGCGGAGGAGCCCCTCCCCCTTCCGAAGCGGCCGCTGCCTGGCCGCTAGGCCCGCGTGCCCGGTCGCCGGGGCAGCGGGTGTTCCCGTGGGGGGTCGGCGCGGAGCTCCTCCCTCCTCCTTCCTCCTCCTCCTCCTCCTCCTCCTCCTCCTCCTCCTCCTCCTCCTCCTCCTCCTCCCCCTCCCCCTCCTCCTCCTCCTCCCTCCTCCTCCTCCTCCTCCTCCTCCTCCTCCTCCCCCTCCTCCTCCTCCTCCTCCTCCTCCTCCTCTTCTTCCTACAGCCCTAGGAGACGAACGTCTGTGGTGTCCACACGTGCACGAGAGACGCAGCCGAATCTCGCCCGCAAGAACCTGGCAACACTGCACTCGCCGGAAGGATCGAGTAGCACATGAAACAAGAACCCTTGACGGGAAGCGCAACCCCAACGTACATGGGAGCGCAAGCAGCCATGACGAGAAGCGCAACCCAACGGACGACGTGGGGCGCAAGGAATGGCGTATGAGGGCACAAGAATGGATGCACTTTGCACACCAAGAATGCAGCTAAGCGCCACTCACTTGTAGGCGATCTCAGGACTCCTGGCGGCCATGTGGCAGTACATCTTGTCGAAGGCTGTCTTGTCGCTGAATAACGGCAGGAAGAAAGCGGCCACCCCAGGCTGCCCTTCTTGAGCAGCAAGGTCGTACAACAGCTGGAACACCTGGTCGTCAGCAACTGGGTCCAAATGCTGATACTCGTAGGCGGCCGTTTGGAACGCCATGCCGAGAGACTTTTTCGTATGGGAGCCGACAGGCTCAAGACACGATGCCTTGACACGAATGGCCTCCGCACCAGTCTTGAAAGCCCAGCGGTCAGCAGCGTCGTCGTAGAAGCTCAGGGTGCCTTCACGACCATTTAGCAGCGGCCTAGCCTTGAGGCCAACAAGGCGCGCGGCCATGCCTGGAGCGAATGTGTGCTTCTCGCTGTGCTGCTGAGGAGCAGTGGCCTTTCCGTGCCGCTGGAGCCTCACCACATCAATATCAGTCTCTGCCTTTGCACAGGGTTTGCTCTCCATCGCCACAGAGCCCGAACCAGTCGCGCCACCTGCAACAGACAGCTGCTCGCTGGACGACTCCCCCTTCTCGTGCGCCAGGACTGGCCCGATGGACTCGGCGTGCGTCTGGCGCTCGGAGCCCTCCTCCACCGCAGAACGCATGGCCGGCGGCGTACCAGAAAAGCCCTCGAAGAAAACCGGAAGGGGCTTCACGACAAGACGGATGTGGGACTCGCCTTTGGAGTTCTTGTGCCCGTGGTCCACGATGATAGCGTTGTCGATGCCCAGCTGCACCATGTGGAGCAAACTTATCATGAGACTGTTCCGCATAGTCGGCTCCCAGACGGGGAACAGGCAGATCTGCATGATCAGCTTGTCGCTGTGGCTGCACAGTTTGACAACGCCTTGGCGGCCATTCGCTAGCTCCTGGATGATCCAATGGAGCCTGGCTGCTGAGACCATGGCGGCGCGGGGGGCAAGGGGGGAAACAGCGGCTCGCAAGTGCAAGAGAATAGCCCCTCCTCAGGCAGACGCCTGGGCCACGGGGGCTCTCCTCCTCCTCCTCCTCCTCCTCCTCCTCCTCCTCCTCCTCCTGGGGGGAGGTGCGCCAGGACCAAGTCAAAGGGCGCCTGGACTTCTGTTGCTCCCATCGTGCTGAAGGACGACATTCCAGGAATCGTTTCGAGCGCCCAGGAGAAAGAGTATCGAAGTAGCGTCGAAGGAGTATCGCCTCCAAGGGCCTGACACGTGAGAACCCTCGAGTTTCGGTACATTCTTGGTGCTCGAAATTCTTTCAGGTGGTCAAGGCTAAAGTAAGTTGGAACGTCATCAGCCTGGACCGGACCGCGTTCTGCCACCGGAGGAGGAGGAGGGCAGGTTGAAGAGGCGGCGGGGTGGGTAGAGAGGGGAAAGCGGGACGAGCAGGAGCTGCCGGATGAGGACGGGGTCGGCAATGCGAAGGCGACCAACAGGATGAAGAAAGGACGATGAGGACGAGGTCGACTAGGACGTGATCACTGAGTATGGGGAGGCGGAGGGCTATGAGAGCAGAGTCAGGAGGAGAAGGATTAGGTGACGAAGAGGGAGGGGGAAGAGGATTTAGGTGACGAAGGGGGAGGAGGAAGAGGATTAGGTGACGAAGAGGGAGGGGGAAGAGCACGAAAAGGAGGAGGATGATGAGGAGGAGGAGGAGGAGGAGGAGAAGTGGGGGGAGGTGGGGGGAGGAGGGGGGAGGACGGGGGAGGAGGGGGGCGGGGGGGCGGAGGAGGAGGAGGAGGAGGAGGAGGAGGAGGAGGAGGAGAGGAGGAGGAGGAGGAGAGGAGGAGGAGGAGGAGGGAGGAGGAGGAGGAAAGGAAAAGGAGGAGGAGGAGGAGGAGGAAAAGGAAAGGAGGAGAGAGGAGGAGGAGGAGGAGGAGGAGGAGGAGGAGGAGGAGGAGAGGAGGAGGAGGAGGTGGAGGAGGAGGAGGAGCGAGGAGGAGGAGGAGGGGGAGGAGGAGGGCGAAGGAGGAGGCGCGCCAGGCCATGTGGGACGTGAAGAACACCGTGTGGCGCGGCGCGCTCGAGGGCCACTCTGGCGCCGTGGCCTCGGTCTCGGCGGACTGGGCCGGCCAGTGCGGGCCTCGGCGGGCGGCGGGGAGGCCTTCGAGGCATGGGCTTTCCTCGGGCAGTGGCGAAGCGTCCTGGCTCGCCTATAGCCCCACCAAGCACTGTTCCCTAAGAACCTTCCGTGGTTCTCACGAAGTGTTCTTCGAACATTTCTGGCCGGGACTGTCTTGTTATGACACATGGGGCTGATGTTCTAAGAACACTGTTGTTGTTCTTAGAACATTACTGGGTTCTAAGAACATGTCGTGGTATGACTATAGGAATGCCGGGACGGTCGGTCCCTGCTCAATTCCAGTAGCAAAAAAGCCGATCCCACTGACTGTGCCTCGTTTTCCTTTTCGTGGGCCTCCTGGGAGGCCCTCCTTGCCGCCGCTGGGTGCGCCTCGGAAGCCTGGTCAGATCGCACCCTGGGAGATGTTCCGGGGAAGCAGTATGGTGGTATGGGTACATCTTCTGGCTTCCCCAATTGCTACTGGCAGCGAGGAAGGGGGCGAAAGTGAGAAGGAGGTGGTCTTCTCAGAAGGCGGCGGGGCTTCTCGGGAGCCCTCCGGCCTGAGAAGTTTTCCGTGTCCTCGGGGAAGGTTTCAAAAGTTTCTCAGAAGGCCGGGGGATTTTCTGAGCCTTCTGAGAAGGCCCGCCCCTTCTCACTTCCCCCCAGGCTCGCCGCCGAGGCTAAGGGGGGGACATCATGGTCAGGGCCACGTTAGCTCCTTGGATTTCATGGCCCTTCTTCCTGTTTCAATGCGTCCCCTGGTCCCCCCCCCCTCCTCGTCCGCGCACGTGCCCGGGGAGATGTTGCACCCCCCCCCTCGACGCCCCCCTCTTGGACGCCCGTGGGAAGGATCTACCCCCGGCCAGGTGTTGGCCTGATGGGTTAAGGCCCGTCAGGGTTGGCCGGAGGGTTGGTCGGGGTGGGCCACAGGTCGGGGGTGGACAGAACCCCCAACAGTGACACGTCGATTAGTGAATTGTCCGTTTTCGGTTCTCGAGATGGCGCCGTGGCCGTTATTTTCTAGGCTTGCGCCCGCCAGGTTTGGGCCCGAAGTCGTTTTCACTAAACCACGTTTTACTAAAGGGGGGTCTGTCCACCCCCGACCAGGGTTGGCCAGGGGCAGCTCTTCGGCAGGCAGCCCCTCCCACGGCATGTGTAGCGGGTGGCCCGGGCTTCGCGCCTTCTTGCGACGGCGGCAGAGCCGACGAAGATCAACACACGCCCATGCCCATGGGGGCGACGGGGAGGGTTGTGGGTGCGTGTTGTCAGATGGGGTCCCCGCTCGAACAGAAGCCTCCCTTGGGATCCAGTAGCCCGCACTCGTACCCATAGCCAGTCCTCCTCCTTCCGACCTCCCTATGGGTGTGTGTGTGTGTGTTGTTCGTTTGTCAGGAGCGGGCCGCCTCGCCCCGCTCCGGGCCCCCGGGGCCCGCGTGGAGCCGATCCGGCTCGAGACACCCGTCGTACATCCGGACTCGACAGCTCTGGCCGCCTGCTTCCACAGCGCTCTCTGTCGTTCCGTCGGGGGAATCTTCAGAAATTGTGCAGACATAGTGCGGGGACGATGATTTGATCATTTTTGTTTGACCATTTGGGGGTATTGTTTGACTATTTTCAATGTTTCGTCCGAGATCTCCCTGTAGGAGGACACGCCCGACTTACTCCTAGATGGGGTCGGAGCAGATGGGGTCGGAGGGTCGCGCCGCATCGCCGATGGCATCGCCGATGCGGCTCGATACGGAGCCCGATTTGCTTCACGTCGACGTTGCCGATGCACAGCCGACGTCGCCGATGTATCGCCGATGCATCAACGATGTATCCGCGATGCGGCGAGATCCT